TATTTCATTTATACCCCGCCCTTCTCCCGGAGGACTCAGGGCGGCTTACAGCCAGTTTAAAACAATCCCACATAAATACCAAATACAAATCTAAAATAATTAAGAATAAATATTTGAATTGGCCGCTCTATTAAAATTTTGTTAAAACCAATTAAAATACCCCCTAGGCCAGTCCTGCCTGCTGAAACAGCCAAGTCTTATTCAACTCAACCTACTTATAAGAACAGTACTAAGCATAAACAAAGCAGATTACGGCTTAATATATGAACCAGATGAGTATACCAGGGCTTGCTTAAGTATATAGGAAAACCCAGCCGCAGGTTCCTTAAGTTGCCCGCTGATTCCACCAATCCGCCAATCCCGGCTGCCCCTGGGCTGCTCTCCTCGTCCCCTCCTGGCTCCCCGGGACTTAGCTGCTTCCTGCCCCGAGTCCTGGAGAAACGGCTCACCTTCCAGCAGGGCTCACAGAGCTCCTTCACGTTGATGGTCCAGCACAAGGTGATGATGAACATTGGGAGGATTTCAGAAGGCAGGCAATTGTAGCACACCACGGCATCCAACACCTGCAGGGAGACCTGGAGGGGAAAGGTTGGGGTGAGGAGAAACAAGACAGGGCCGAGGGAGCAGCAAATAAACTCATTATTGCCCTTGTCTGAACAAAGGCTATCGTGCATGCAGTTCCCCCAGGAGTGTGGGTCATTCTGGCACCCCTTTCCAGACATCCACCCAAGGACACGAGCTGCCAGCCAGGAAGTAGCCCAGTGGATGAAGAAGAGCTGGGGACAGGCAGACCTCCAACGGCACTGAGTCCCAGGCAGGGAGTCTGAGGGCAAACTGAGCAGGAGGAGTGACCCAGTGGAAGGTGTCAAGGACAGTTTACGAACAGGAGAAAGAAACAGACTCAAAGTCTCCCTGTCCCGATGCAAACCTGTTCCTATTTTTAAGGGCCTTTTTATCCTGCCCACAACATTTATGTTACTACCCACCTTAATGTCAACTGCAGAAGATGTCTGAATGCATAAGGCGCAAATCATGCTAAAGGAAAGGAAAACCTGGTTAAGGGTGTTCATTGGTTGGCTGGCTTTGTTAACTGAACCTTCTATGCAGAAATCTTCAATCTACAACTCGAACCTGCCAGAAGGCCCTCCCCCCAACAGGCTCGGGTATGCAAGGAGAACTTGTTTTGAGCAAATTCTCCACTAGTTTATGGCTCATAGCTCATTGATGGCTTCTTTGGGCTGCTATCTCAATTAATTCAGTACTTGAACTGACACGGACATAAACACTTTTTCCACGACCCAGCCAGCAAAAGAACACGGCTCTACCAAGATTATCATTTCAAAGCAACCTCCCCCAAACTGGGTTGTCTAGCTACGTAGGGACCACAGAATCCAGAATTCCATGCTAATTATGCTTCCTTATAAGCAAGAGAAGATCTAAAACTTTGCCTTACTAGACCATGCCAGCAATGTAGTCATCCAAGTAACAGCTGTTGAATTTCACTAAGTTGATCAACACCAACAGAAACTCTGAAGTCAAACCAACTTTCATCCACTGAAGAACAAATTCAGCTGAAAGAAGCAGCAACAGGGGAGAAAATGCCAGATGCTGAACTGCAGAAAACGTTCTACATGAATGACAGTCAATGGCTCAAGCTTCTAAATGGCCCATTCAAAAGTTCACCAGAGATGTCCTTTCTTGTAAGACCAGAAGGAAAAACCTGGCTGGATCAGACCAGAAGCTCAGATGATAAGTTTTGGTCACCCCCTTCTCTGTGCAAGAATCTACCACTGAAAAGGGGGACATACCTAGTTCCTCTTCCAAGTACGTTATGTGTTTTCCATTATCAGTCAGTGCCTTGAATACCTCAAGCCGCTCATGTAGGTCTTCATTAGACGGATAATCTTTAATCACTCTAAAAAAATGAGCTCGGAGAATCCCCAGCCGTTCACCCTTCAAGATAAAAGAATTGGCTTAAGTAATGGATATACATTTTTAAAAAGGATGCTTCCTTCTAGTACAGTTGCTTGGTCATGCAACTTACTTGTCCCAGAATAATTGCCTGCAACAGATGGAGGACAGCATGCCGGGCCTCAGGCGGTCGATCTGGCTGTAGCATATCAGCTACTGCTTTCCAAACAGCTTCCACTGCATGCTACGAGAGCACAGAGACATTTAGGGATACTTGGATCCTTTGGTCTATTCAGTTAAAATTGCATCAATCGTGTTTACTAAATGTAGATCCAATAGCAAACATTTGTCTATTAGGTAACTGTGACATTTATATCTTAACATCACAGGGTTAGTTTCTGATTTAATTATTTTTCTCTGTCCTGTTCTAATCCTAAAAGAAACATTCACGTCTTTTTTTTTAACACTTTCCATTCTGCTTCAAAGTAAATGGATGTTCCCTCACCAGAATATTGTAAGATAGGAACCAAACACTGTAGAATTTCAGATCATGTCTATTCTCAAATTAACAGCTTCTTTCTGACATTCTCTTCCAATGCCATATAACTACCCAAAGGCAGGTCATGCTGAGCAGAAATGTATAAAAAGATCTACTTTCAAAAGAAAAAAAAATCATGAGCCAGTTTTGCCTTCCTGTTATTTATTTACACTCCCAATTTGTTCTATCCCCTTTTCTACTGGGGAAGGCAAACAGAAATTCTCTGACTTAGCAACCCAGGGTCCCACCCTCTATTCATCCCAAGCCATCTATAAATGCTGAGATGTGGGATGTGCAGTTCAGCTGCAGCGGAGTGGATGCTTATATACCAGTATAAGGCATTTATTTCTCTAAACAACAAGCCCTGCATACTCACCTCTTCAAACTTTTTAGTTTTTGCCACCTCACAGATTTGTCCAATTGCTTTTATCCGATTGTTTAAACCACATTCTATGCTCAGTTCCTGAAAAACAAGTATAGACTTAGATCTGTACAAGCAGCAGCAGGTTCAGACAGGATGGTGGCTCTACATGTCTGACCACATCAAGCAGTAAAGGAACCAGGACTAGCACTTCCTGGTTAATGACTCTTATGCACAGACTCACACTTCTTAGATAAGGGGAAAACCTGACCTTCCTTGCTCATGCATCATCCTCTGCGGAGGATCTGTCCTCTTCCAGTTTGACAAATCCCCGTTTGCTGAGTTGGAGAACGTACAACTATAACACGAACATTACTTCTAGGGCCAGTTCCCAGTTTCCTGCGGGTGCCAACTGTCCCACCTGATTTGCACAGTGTGATTTGCATAGTTTTAAGAATGGTTCTGATCTCTCAAATTTTCTCAGAAAATAAAAATGATGGCCAGCTGTAGCACTGCTTGAAAAATAAGTCATGTATCCAGAACAAGAACGCGAAAAAAATGGTTTATGGTATCCTAAGGGAATAGGAAGTATAAGAGGTGACAGACAGCATTCTAGTGGACCAGTGCTTGGGAACTGCTTGTTTTTCATACACAGGTGCCATTTTGTATGGATTAGAAATTCTCCACAGCAGCCCCGAAGTTCAATGTGTTCTCAAAACTCTAAAGGCACTTGTCAGCCCCAAAGATAGGGGGCTCTGGGTGAAGGAATTGCCTCCCCAATATGTTGTCCTTCCCATCACAATCACAGTGCCTCCCCTCCAGCAAAGAGCACATCAGGATGTCCAGTTGTCAATATATGCTCCTTCCTCCCTCCCTCCCTCCCTCCCAATAAAATAAGTTACAATTAAAGATGGGGAGGGAGGGAGGGAGGGAAGGTGGGAACTGCTGTTAATCAGCCACCTCCAGTATGAAGCTCCCCCCTTGGGGACCCAAGCCAACTGCAGAGCCAGGTCTTGAGGCGCTTAGGGAAAATCAGAATGGTGGGAGTCAATCTCATCTCATGGGGCAAGATGTTCCAAAGGACCAGGGCTTCGGAGTTTAAGAAGTTAGCATCATAAATCAAATCTAGTTAACTGGTTAGTTAATAAAGCAATTCCATCAGGATGGTGTTACTGCACAGAAATAGGGAGAAAGGGTTATCTTTTAAAGTAGAATATCCTTTAAATATGAATGGGATTTAAACATATTACACATTAAATTCATATTTTATATATACATAAAATGGCTATTAGGATTTTATACATATATGCAAGCATATAGTACACAAATATTGTCTTGCATCTGAAGACAGTATCATTTCATTAAACCAAAGTCTATTAAATTGAGGATTTATTTTACTCACAAATCCTTGGGGAATCCAAATCTTAAGGCAATTTAAAGGATTTTTAAAAATCCTTGAAATTAAAATCTGTATTCATTTTCTTTTGTGGCATCTATTAAAGTTCAAAGTTTGGAATATCTCTGAACGTTACCTTGAGTATTTCCACAGTGATGATGAATTCTGTATGTTTTCCTTCGGAGGACTTAGAATTGGGCCTGGACGACAGTCCCAGGAGGCTCTTAAACTTCTCCTTCAGCCCAGGGTCTTTACTTGGTGGCTTTGCCATTGTTAACTAAGGCAGCATCAAGGAAACTGCATGGAGAGAAGATTGCTTCACCAAGAGGAAAATAGTTGGGAGGTTTTCTCCATATAACCCTCCCAAGATAGAAGCTTAAGAGACACACACAAAAAAAGTACAGACACCTACAATCCACCCTATGCATGCTCAAATATGGCATACAGGTGGCTGCTTTATAGAATACAGTAGGTGTCTGACTTTGCCAGGAATTCTCCCCCTTTATTTTAAAAAAGCTACTACTGAAACAACTAGCAAATTCTGTGCATTAAAAACATTATTAATTTATATGAGGAGAACCAGTGTGTTGCTCTAGTTAAGAAAATGTATGGAAGTAACTCAATTCCCTTTTAGTCCTCTGAACTCACTGAGCCCAGGAGCCAGACTGAACCAAACTGGCCTTCCAGGATTGTGATACATATAAAGCGGGAAACTGAATACCTCTAGGGCCGGATGTATCATAGTGAAACTGCGCCCACCCCACAAGACACATCGCTTGACATTGCGAGTTTGACACCCCTGCTCTAGGTGGTCCCTCAATTCTTTGGACTATACATAGTTTTTAAACAGAAGAAAGCAAACAAAACCTTCCTCTTGAGATGAAACAGTGATTTCATAAACCAGAACCTGAAAATAATAATTAAATTTAGACCAACAATATTGTTGTTTCTTTTAACCATATTGAAAGGCATGACTATACAAATAAAAGGCATTTTACAATTTTCAAAAGATAATTATTATAGATCTGTATGTGTTAGGATGCTGGTTATTTATTAAGATAAATTGATGTTATGAATCTACCTTGTTTCCCCATTCTCAAAGTTTTAGAAATAGTCATGACATTCTTCCCAAATGCTAATTGTAATTACTCACTACAATAAACCTTATTTTTCAGTATGAATAAAGCACTTGAAACTTTATTAATTGAACAACTAGTTAGTGGAATAATACTGCACGTATAAAAGCTTTTCAAGCTGAAATAATAATTGTACTGACAGCACGAAAGGTTGGTTTATTGATCTCATTTTTATTATTGCTTGTAAATAGCTTATTAGTATCTTTGGTAATTATTATATCTAGGATATTTCCAGTGTGGAAAATACAAATGGCTCACGAGAATATGGCGTGGCTGTAATAATAAGAAAAGGGAAGAGAGCATTTTGGACATAACAAAGGGGGTTTGGGGTTAGCTGAGGGGGTTGGGGTTAGGAGGCACTGTTTGGCAGTGGTTCTCCTCCTACCTCTCCGACCGGTCGCAATCGGTGTTGGCAGGGGGGCAGAGGTCGACCG